AAATGTCACGCCGACTAGGAGTGAGAATATTATTATTATTATATTATGGATAGCAAATGAAATGGATTGATTTCTTTTTCAAATTTAATATGAAAACGAGATTAACCCAAAACAGCATTGTTGTGCGATGTTTCGTAAGCCAAGTCAGCTCGAAATCAATGTCGCCCTTGCTCAATCATCGTCTCACCGCTTATTCTTATCCACGAGACTGATTTGTCGTTGAGTGGCATTGTTACCCTGGTTGTCGCTTACAAAGGAATGACGTTTGAGGTAATGGAAGGGAACCGGATATACAAAGATGGTAATTTACGCCCTTAGTGGCTTATCCATTATGGATGTTGTGTTATTTCGCTGCTTCTTGAATAATATCGGATACAAGCGCGTGTTACGGGGTAGATTTACAAGGGAAAGTGACGGTGACGATATGCTTTCAATAACGCATAATAAACATGCTGAAAGCTCTGTAATCATGAAAAACCGCAGATATCGTTTCATGCTTTTTAGCCAAAATAGCTGAAAGAATCATATTAGATAAGCTCCTGTCATTTGCTTTCGAAAATGACCTTATCCCTAAGAATCAGCATGGATTTCTCCCTGGTCGATCAATAATGACCAACCTTCTCCACTCTCTCAGTATCTGGACACAAAGACTCCTGTTGATATAATCTACTTAGATTTTTCCAGAAGAAGCAGTTGACGCATTCAAAAATGCCATTTTATTTCCATATGCAAATCTTAAAAGACATCCCTCGTATCTGTATCTTAAATTACTTGCCTCTCGGTATCGTGACACCATCGTGAAATGGTTAAACGAGTGAATCAGGTTTCAGCCCTTTCGGAGTCTCAACTTGTTTTTCCCTTCCTCTGTGGCGAATCCAATCATTTACCTTTGTTTGAAATATCCGAGCAATGAATAAACAAGACTGTTCAATGAAGAACAAAATTAATGAATGGTCCAAAATACCGCATAAATAGAACCAAGGATATATCGACACGTGTAAACATTCTTTAATCGATTACGTGGATTGTATAACCTGAGCATATTTTCCAATGTATTTTCACCCACATTCCGGCCGCTATGCGTTATAAATCAGAATGTTGGACGGAGAGAAAATAAACTAATCCGAAACCTGGAAAGTTCGAAAAGATTTGTTTCTCGTTTCGCGAAGCGAAAAGTATTTTTTGCAACCGCGATTTTATGAACAGCTTTATTCTCGAATTAATCGAGCGACTTTGAGCTTTGCGTAGACAGAAAAAAATATTCGAATCGGGTACGTGGTGTTGAAAATGTATCGCCAAAAAAAAAGGGTGTCGTAAAAGGAAGACGGGAACATGTTTTACATAAAAATGCAAATTTTTCAGGGTTGAAACGTAAAACGCAGTGATTTAGAAGTGAGGGGATTGCTCCTTGTTTCTTTATAAGGGAGGATGTTCGCCATGAATATAAATATACGAGGGTCGATACAAAATTGGGGTTCCCACATTTTGTTCAGGCACAATGAATTTTTTAGTTGAAAAAACGGATTTACCGTTGGAAACGTTGATTTTTAAGCTATTTCATATTATTATATTATATTTTGTTTAGGTCGGCTGGTTTGCGAGATATTTCATTAATAGGATACAGCTATGCGCATTTTTCAGCTCTAATCGTCATTTTAAATATGTTTTGAGAGAAAACTGTAGTTTTTAGACTAGATATAAACCTTGCTGATAAATGCTAAAAAGCATGAAACGATATCTGCGGTTTTTCATGGTTACAGAGCTTTCAGCGTGTTTATTACGCGTTATTAAAAGCATATCGTCACCGTCACTTTCCTTTGTAAATCTACCCCGTAACACGCGCTTGTATCCGATATTATTCAAGAAGCAGCGAACTAACACAACATCCATAATGGATAAGCCACTAAGGGCGTAAATTACCATCTTTGTATATCCGGTTCCCTTCCATTACCTCAAACGTCATTCCTTTGTAAGCGACAACTAGGGTAACAATGCCACTCAACGACCAATCAGTCTCGTGGATAAGAATAAGCGGTGAGACGATGATTGAGCAAGGGCGACATTGATTTCGAGCTGATTTGGCTTACGAAACATCGCACAACAATGCTGTTTTGGGTTAATCTCGTTTTCATATTAAATTTGAAAAAGAAATCAATCCATTTCATTTGCTATCCATGATATAATAATAATAATATTCTCACTCCTAGTCGGCGTTACATTTTCTATGTCAAATAGTATACAGGGTGTTCCTTAATGATATGCGAATATTTAAGGGTGTGGATCTACATGAAAAATTAATGTCAGTTTGCTTTATAAACTATGGTCCAAAATGTTTCCTTACGAGGGATGTCTTTTAAGTTTTGCATATGGAAATAAAACAACGCGGTAGTTAGTTTTAAATGACTTTATTGTTTTTCGAAGTATTCTAAACGAAAATTAATACACTCGATCAAAACTTTCCAGGCAGATGGATAGGGCGGTCTGGTACAATACCGTGGCCAGCCCGGTCACCAGATTTGAATCCGTTAGATTTGTTTTGTCGAGCGTGTATTGCGGCTGAAGGAAAACAGTTTGAGCATTTGCTGTAAAGGTAAATCATCATCAGCAGCATTTTGACGCCCACTGTTGTGCAAACAGTTATCCTTAAGGGTCCTTGTGCGTTTTCATAATCGCTGTTTAATTAGGGAATTCTGAAAAAATTTCATCAGTTTTTTTTTTCAAATAAAAATTGTGCATAAGTTAACGAGTAATCTTCTAAGTGTTATACCATTTTGGAATCGTTATTAAAGGCGATAACTTTTAAGGTTACTTGCCAAACTCTCGTAGTACATTTTTTTCCAGTACAGCCAGTTAAAGTTGAGCAAAGTTTTACTTTGGAATACTTGGTTGGGAAATAAGTGGCAATTTTTCATGAACGAGAAAAGTTGGCAGTAAGGTTGAGACACCACTTTGAAGATGCATTATTCATCATTACATTGTAAAAATAAAATCCAAAAAAGTTAATATTTGTAGTAACAGGAGTTGACAGACTGCCGTAGGGTGTGAAATTTCTATATCTTTTTCAAAGACCTATAATTTTCAAAACACATACATAAATTTTTTTTAAATATTTTTCTGATAGCTGTTATGACTTTGCCTATCACCCGGTTTCGGCTTGACGTCGACTTCTGGGACACCCTGTAGAATAAAGTGAAGGGGGCCATTTTCAACAATTTTTTAATCATTTCGTTGGTTTTAATGTTATGTTTATGTTGTCAAATGTTGTTGTTAATTACCCCTAATGTGTTTAATTTTTCCAATTAAATTAATAATAATTTTGCAAGTTAGACAATAGAACGGTTTTTATTTTTTACTCAAAAATGGCGCATCGAAGGAAAATAATTCACGAGAGATTATTTGTTTTAAATTGAACGGGGAATTCGAAAATAATTTTTATTTGACGAAAAAACCATTAGCGTACCAGTTTTTTCTTAAAGGTGAACTTTTTCAATGAAAAGTGAGATCGATCCAAAAAAAGTAAGAAAAAGTGAAAAAAGTGAGTCGCCTGCATCCCTGAAAGTATTATGCAATACGGTTACGTAAACGGAAACTGCATTATGCAAATATTAATCATAATTTCATACAATACAAAATCCACCGTACGAAACATTGTACGATAAAGTGGTGACTACATGACATTTCGAACCAGATACTCAGTCGCTTATCAGAGGAAAAGAAAATGTTTATTCAATCCGATAAGATTTTAAAGGAAACTAACTACAAAGAGAATATTTTTTAAATGAATACGCCAAATTAAATGACTACCAGCAGCGGACCGTTATGACATAAAATGTTAATCACACTCGTTTTATCGATAAAAATAATTTGCATTTTACGACCGCTTTATCGGCTGATAAACAAGGTGCAGTCGCGTCCTTGAATTTGTAGACGCCGGTATTTTATTATTATTGTGCATACGTGCACTTCAAAGTAAATGTTTTCGAGTGCGTTGACTTTTTCGTATTGGATATTTCTGAAACAATGGAACGGCTGTTGGTTGTCAACCGGGCGATTTTTATATGTTTACCTTTTCACATGCGAGCGGAGCAATAAGTAAATATATACAGTGGATGTTATTGTTTTTCTAGTCAGATTAGAAATAGGGAAATGTGTAGCCGTGAAAGAGTTATTTTTAGAACGGAATAGAAAAATAAAGGAACGTACAGAACTTAGGAGCTTCAAATGAACTAAGGGCATCCATTCCAAAACTTCGAAAATCCGGACTAACAGTTAATCTACTAGAATTATTTGTTCTTATCCATAGTTTTTTCCATCAACGACGAAAAATACCTCTTTCCAAACACACCAGTCAGTATAACTGCATTTCCAACGCGCTCCGAATACATCAAAAACTCGTTGGGAGAAATGTAAACATTCGACAAACCATCATAAATATAAGCTCAACGAAAATATAATTAAGTATATCCTGAACAAGCACAAAATGTCATTCTATCGTAGCTACAAATTAAATATGACATCATCTAATATCTCACGGACATGCTCAGCTGTTATACGTGTCATAAGTTAATTAATGCATCTATTCGTCCTTATTCGGATTGGTGGACCGTAACCGCGACGCCCGACATCGAAAATAGTCGCAATAAAGGAGCACTTAACCTCATTTGGTTAGATTTCTGGATAGTTAACCCCGCAGGAATGAATTCATTTGCAATCATCTCTTTATCTCCATGCCTTTCATTCGACCGGAGATGTCGTGATCTGGTGTTTGCTAAATACCATTATCTGTCTTCTTCTTTCTTCAAAAGGCTGTCTATCTTTTTCTTGGCTTTCCTGTACTCCTTCCATCTCGAAATACTCGTATCATTGCGGTTTTTCCACAAGGAGCAATTGCCTGATGTGCAGAATAATGGGTCTTAAACCGTTCCTTGTGGAACACCCGCATCGAGGACTTACACCAGAAATACTCGAACGAAGGCCGACATTACCGTTTTTTTTTTCAGAATTTAGTGAACTCAGCTTTAAAAGTTACAAATACCTTGTAAATACATAACGAAGTAGTGGGTCCAATTTGAAAATTTTTCCACCTATATATCCTTCCAAATCTAAGTACTTACGCATATATAAATGAACGAAACGAACATTCTTGCTAAAAGTGGAACTACAACGTTGTCCAAATGCGGAAACACCGCAATCTAGCGACTGCGGAAAGTTCCGATTGAAGTGATTTTTTGTGAAAAGTGACAATGTTGTCCAAATGTCGAGACAACGCAGTTTAGTGACTATGGAAAGTTTGGAGGAGGTAGCAGCCAGGGAGGAAGCGGAGCGACAGCAAGGTTTGAGGGACTTGGAGCAGTTGTACGAATGGTTGCAGCAGTTTGAGGATCCTCCACCGGCTCCAAGGCCTCCGCCACCATATCAATTCAGAAACGGTATGTCACGAATAATAGTTCGATTTATCAATTAGTTTTTTGTGGGCATGTGGTATTGAAATGTCTCACGAATCATTTCGTAATCTAATCACTTCATCTAAAGCTTCATTGTTAACTTAGCAATCAAGTTCTTCAATCCGAATACCATCTAAAGTTCTTACACGACTAAGTGCTAGATAAGCTTGTCAGGATTAATGGCAACATTCGCAATGAACAAGGTGAGAATGCACTACCTTGAAAAAGTATGTGCCTCCGTCGTGATGTGCCGAGTGCCAAACCAACAAAGGTAACCACGAAAATGCACGCATGCGCAGGTCGCGCGCTAGCTCTAATACTCAAACTTTGCTCTGAAGTGTTGAGCATGTCGTGTGATCGTAAATACTTTCTAAAGCTCATTTCAGGACTTTAGGCCAAGATATCTAGAATTTCCGGGGGGGGGGGAATGTAATAAGCTGTTTTACAACGGAATTTCATTCTTGATTGCATATGAAAACGAGAATTAAAAAATTGTTGTATACAGGGTGTCCGCAAATTTGGGGTTTTCCTTTACACGACGTGTAGATCTTGAAAACATAAGCAATTTTTCTTAGTACCATATACATCAATGTCTTAAGGGAACCGTGATAAAGGGCTCTGCAAAATATCTGAATACCGTCCTGTAGCCGCGACCCGCCGGGATATCCCCGACTGGACCAGGTCTCAACCCGACGGCAGAACTGCTTCGGGGTCAGTGTGTCAGGTTAGTATGCAACCTTCAACCGACGGTTACAGTCACGCGTGTAGAGGTAAACGAACTCGTATAATCGATTGCGTTTCAAAAAACAACAAGCACTAGAGACGTGGCTAGAGAAGTGCAAGTATCAAAAACTAAAGTGTGGCAAACGCTGCGTGAAGAGGGGCTGTATCCGTTTCACGTCCAACGTGTACAAGCCCTTCAACCTGACGATTTTCCAGCAAGAGTGCGGTTTTGTGAGTGGTTGTTGCATCAACATGACAATAATCCGGACTTTTTGAAGTGCATATTGGTGACAGACGAATCTACGTTCACGCGTAATGGGGTGAATAACTTTCGCAACACTCATGTTTGGTCATTTTCAACAAACATTTTCGGTGAATGTTTGGGCTGGCATGGTGAACGGTATGCTCATTGGACCATTTATTCTCGCAAATCGATTGGACGGGATGCAATACCTAGACTTTTTACGCAGCATTTTGCCTTCCTTGTTTGCCTGCGTCTGCTCGGTAGCGCATCAGCTGATTTCATTTTCTGTTGGAGCGGTATGATTTCGGGCAGAGACGTACTTAGCCCTTCTCGTCAACTGGAGAGTGAGTACTTTTTCCTTTATATTTTTTTTTACTTGGTCGCCCTCGTTTCACTACACATTACCTTTGTTATTTCAAGGGTAGTTGTTTCTGAAAAGGAAAACCCCAACTTTGCGGACACCCTGTATTTCTGTTGCAATGGTTAATTCGCTATTACGTAGAATTGTTAGTATTTTATTTTTTTGAGAAAAATACGTCAAAGGTACATTTATATTTGTCTTGAAAAAGGAACTTTTTGTACTCACAAAAGTAAAATTTATTAAAAAAAAATTTAATCAGTGTCGTTTTTTAGCTTGGTCTAACTTGGTCAAACGCTCAAAGTGGCTGAAATGATTACAGCGTCTGCCTAGAATAGTCGAACGTAGGAGGTTGTGAATTCGAGTCTTGCCGGCGTACTTTTTTTCTAATATACCGAGTGTTTCAAATTCGACTTTCACCATTGGGTCATAGCAATCCAGGATCTACCTTCAACTCCATGTACAGTTTTTAATTTTCTTTCCGGCGTTGTCCCAACTAAATACCTCAATGATGCATCTAGACAATACGGCTGGATGCAAAAAACAAACTCGACCAGTCTCTCGAGCACACTTCATGTCTTCGAACAGGTATTTGTCGTCTCTATAAATAATACAAAGTGAGCGGTTGTTTATAAATATAGCATCGGGGTATTCTGAGAGCAACGCTAGCCGTCTGAGAGAGCGAAAGCGATTGCGAATATTTATGGGAGAACGACTGCGACCAACTGGTTGTTGTTCATCGTGCGCGAAATAGCATCACGTCGATGATTGAGCCTGCAGTAACTGGAGCAACGACCACGTTTATTATGAAAATTGGCCAAAAATCGTGAATTCGGACGTATGGCTGAATAAACTTTTTTGATGGTCTTAGACAAAAAAGGTAAACACCTACGTATACTAAGTGACATATAAATCCGAACACCCAGTTTAAATGGTTTTATTTTAATAAAATTTTGTATAAGTACTTAATGATAAAAATTTCAAAATGATTGCACTGCTTTAAAGCCCTTTGACCTTTAATAATGTGTGGATGCACCCTGATGTGCTACGCATTCTCCAACGCGCCTAGGCATGCTTCTGATCAGGTGGTCAATGTCCTCCTGTGGTATCTCATTCCAGGCAACCACCAACTCCTCTCGAAGTGCTTCTAGAGTCTGAGGAGGACGTTGCAAATTGAGCAATCTCCTACCCATCATATCCCACACGTGCTTAATTGGGGATAAGTCGGGAGATCTTGGTGGCCATGGTAACAATGTGACATCATTATGTTGAAAGAAGTCTATTGTGACTCTTGCAACATGTGGTCGGGCATCATCTTGTTGGAAAGTTGGATCTGCCAGGGTGTCAACATAGGGTAAAAGATGGGGGGTTCTAGAACTTGGGCGAACTCTTGATTCGAGAAGATTGTAAATAAACACGACGACGTACGCGAACAAAAACAAAACAACACGCCCGATGCTCTAGTCGACAAAACGATAAAGTAATATATGTATGCAACACGATAACTAACCACTGTTACCGCTTGCGATCGATTGCCGGCTCGATAAGAGTGATGAAAGACTGACGCGCTGTTGTCATGTGTGTTTTAAATATTTAATTTAATAAAACTTACTTACTGACTTCAAATTTTTACTTAACTTAGAAAAACCTAATGCCTTTTTTTTGTTAATTACAAAATTTAAAAACGTTTTAGATTAGATTATAAAAATTAGTAAGATTGTGGTCGATATAAAGCACTTAAAGTTGCAAACCATAAAGCCGTTTAAACAAAAATCTATTGACTTTTGGACCATGGGTCATATGAACTTTTTGAGTAGTATCTCCCCCCCCCCCTACTACACATTTCAGTAATCACTACCGTAACGTTTACACCCTGTATAAGGAGAGTCAACCTTATTTTTATTATTATCCGACAACTATCCTTTAACTCCCATGTACTAAGACTGATAAGGCACATAAGACGTAGTCTAATGAGTATGGTATATTTTCATTAAAATACTTTCATACTCCATATGGTTATCTGGAATTTTGAAAATTCAATCTTGTTAGTGAATCCCATAAACCGCAGTACATATGGCAGATAGGCAGATGACACTATGTTTATCGAAAGCAGATACCGAAATAGATGGCTATGGATTCGTATATATAAATATGCTGACCAACTTAACAAGAACCGAAACGCGCGTTAATTTACTAACACATAAACTTTAGCGGTCCTGAATGTGAAACAGATTTGGAACGAACAACATTTGTTTGAAATTCGCACACAAAGTAGAGAGAAACATTGCCTCTGGTTCCCTCTGATTTTTTATTTATAATCTTTTTTGTGATTTTATACTATTAAAAAAACTTCGGTATACTTAACCGTCCCATGAATGAATTCTGGATCCGAACAGTACTTCGTAATTTTCTTTTGAAACGAATCCAACAATTTTTGGGAAAATATCCGGTTCTTTTCGACATTCCTGATAGTACGGAACATTCAACTACTGTTTATCTTTTACTTGTTTGGATAATGTATACTGAGTGACATATAAATCCGAACACCCAGTTTAAATGGTTTTATTTTAATAAAAGTTGGTGAATGTATTTATCTTACTGTAAATAACAAGTGAATAAATGTTCAGCCTTATCAGTTGGACATTCCGGTTTTTATACTGCTTTTTTTTTAATTCACTAACGCTCTAAAAATGAATATTTCAGCCGCAGTAAAGAATCAACGTTGGTGGATTTTGGTTCTTGACATCCTTTACGATCGGTTACGATGAGTACGGAGACCTGTACGATTTCGTCAACTTAGTGAGTTTGATAGGGGCCGTATAGTGGGACTTCGGGAAGCTGGACTTTCTTTTCGGGCAATTGCAGTTAGAGTGCAAAGAAGTGTAGACACTGTGGTTAGGTGTTGTCAGGCATGGCTTCGAGAAGGCCGTACGCAAAGAGCAAGGGGCACTGGACGCCGCCGTAGAACAACAGACCGTGAAGATCGCCGCCTAAGATTATTGGGCCTTAAGGGACCGTTTCTCCACTACCAGGTCCATTGCAAGTGAATGGTTTGCAGAACACGGAAGACCTATTGGCATGCGAAGTGTTTACCGACGGATGAGGAGTTTTGGCTTGTTTTCATACCGGCCACACTGGGTCCTCCCTTTAACTCGAGAACACCGACGTAATCGCCTTGAGTGGTGCAGACAACGGTCACTCTGGGATCAGGAATGGAACAGTATTGTCTTTAGTGACGAGTCTCGATTTTGTTTAGGCATGCACGATGGTCGTGCCAGGGTTAGAAGGCGACGTGGTGAAAGGAGGAATCCACAGTTTTTTGTTGAAAGACATGTTCATCACACTGTTGGAGTTATGGTTTGGGGTGCTATAGCTTATGGTTCCAGGTCACCTTTAATCCTCATCAGAGGTAACATGAACGCGCAGCGTTATATCCACGAAGTTCTAGAACCCCATCTTTTACCCTATCTTGACACCCTGGCAGATCCAACTTTCTAACAAAATAATGCCCGACCACATGTTGCAAGAGTCACAATAGACTTCTTTCAACATAATGATGTCACATTGTTACCATGGCCACCAAGATCTCCCGACTTATCCCCAATTGAGCACGTGTGGGATATGATGGGTAGGAGATTGCTCAATTTGCAACGTCCTCCTCAGACTCTAGAAGCACTTCGAGAGGAGTTGGTGGT